AGCCTGAGGCCAGGGTGGGGGGCTCCTCTCATCTCCCTCCTCTGAAAGGAAGAAATTACACTTGAACCTGAAGCTCAAGTTTGCGTCTGGTCATAAAACTGGCCAGTTGTAGCATTACAGAAGTCATGTCACCAGACTTCCAGCCCATGGCCTTGAGGGTCCTGCTGGTGAGCCCCTCCGCTCCCCCTAAAAGGATAGCGTTCTTTGGAGAAAAGCTGGAAATACTAATACAGTATTTTCAGGTCAAATGTCTGACAACAGTTGACTTCACCCCCAGATCTTTTCATTTCATATTGGTGCCGGCCAACGAGCCAGACAGTATTAGGACCTTGACCAGGAAAGGCCAGTCGTGCCAGAGTAGAAGTGCTCTCCTGGGTAGATCCAGAGTTTGGACTTGTTTTCCCTGTCATTGTTTCCCTCTGCACTAACTCATCAGACGTCTGGCTCAGCTGGTTTAGGATTGCACACTAGCTACGCAGAGTCCGGGGCTGGTGTTCTCGGGAGAAGCCCTTCAGGGCCTGGTGTCTCTGCTCCCCAGAAACCCCACCTGCGCGGGGGGGATCTTCAAGTGGTCTGGGTAAACTCACTTGGAATCGTGACAGGATGTTCCTCTGGTCGACATCTCCTAGCAGAATGTTAAAAGTGCCTTCTGTCTTAAATTCTCAAACCAAATATTGTGTGTTGAACTTGGGCAGAAGTGGCCTGCCTGCCTTCTCGTCTCCGCATGTAGCAGAAAGCTCGGCTCCTCTAGGAAAGGTTCTGCCTGCCCATTGAGTCCGCTGCTGGGCAAGTGGTAGCAGTGTCCTTGCTTCCAACGTGATTATTCACGACATTTCATTAGACTGGTCACTTCTGAGGACTTTATCTGCCTCTTCCTTCTTGTGTTTTGAAGAACGAAGACAAGCTCGCTCCGCTACAGCGTGTGGCGTAGGCAACTGTCCTGCGGTTTTCCAGCTAACCTGTAACTGACGCCGTGTTGGCTTCCGGCCCAGGGCAGGTGTAAAATCTGAAAGGTGATTTGCGTTTAACTAATTTCTTAAAAGACAGCTTATGATAAGTTTCATCAAGGCTCCTGTTTTCCCATGAATGTGAACGTTTCAATGCTTGTTTTACTCCGTAGGTGTTATTCTTGTGTCCTAAACTAGATAGAGACCCTAGGAAGAGCTGATTGAATGCCTGGTGGTTACAGAGACAGATCCTAATGGTAAGAGCTGGACATGAAGGTGAGCTTGTCACAGTGCCGCCTGACCCACCACAGCAGGCCCCAGGCTCGCTTTCATACGAGTGGAAGTGGCTAACTCTGAGGCGGCCATGCTGTCCCCAGCAGGGAGTCAGCACCCACAAGTTGCTCAGACCCTAGTTTCAAATGGCTTTTTGTCAGATTTGGTAGCAATCAGCAAAGTACAGTTAAAGCTTGTCTAGGTGTTGCTTTCTCACAAATGTCTTCACTTTTTTTTAAGTTCATGAGAAGTTGTACAGATGTTCAGCCAAGACCACTCAGGTTCTTCCCTTGTTTTCCTGAGCCTTGGGGCAGACACCACTGTTGGAGTTTTTTTGCCACATTCCTATGACCCAGTAGAACCTCTATTCTCACTTAGAGATGGACACAGCTGCTTGGCAGCCCAGCAGCACCACAGCGGAGCGCAGGAAGCAGTGGAGTCCTCTGGGGGCTTTCCTCCCTGGGAGCTGCCCAGGCTCCCCTCCACGCAACCCAGAATAGGTGGGAAGAGGGGAACACCGGGCTGTGAAATTTGAAGATTATCTTAAGACTGATAATGCTTCACACTGTAACATTACTGGTCACCAACTCAGAAGGATTTGAGGGGTGAGGGGAGTGTTTATAGTAGCAGTCCTATGCTTTCTTGGAGTTTTTTTACATTATTCGCAACCAACGAAGCCTCTTACTTGCTTGATAGTGATGTCATTGGAAGAAATGAGGAAAGTCGTGGCGCTGTGGTTAATGGTAGGGAGGCTCAGTGGTCTGGAGGCTTTTGCTTGGTTTCTTGTTACACCTGGTGCTGTCAGTGAGGTTACTTTGGGTGCGATAACTAGCTCTGTGCCAGGAATTATATTCGTCTCCTCCTCATACCCATGACTTGGAAAGACTGTTGAAAGCATTGACTTCTTTCATACCAAGACACAAAAATTTATTACTGATACCAGGGATCGCAAGGCCCCAAAATAGCGTGAAATGAAGCAGATCCATTGGCTTTGCTTGGTTTTCCTCTCTATGTGGTCACTTAGCTGGGTCCAGGTGAATGCTGACGGGACACGCTGGCTTAAAGCGGTGTCAGAATGTCCACGTGGAAGCCCTGGAGCATCTGGCAGAACCAGGTCTCAGAAACTGCTCTTGTCCTCATGCATTTGTCCCAGTAGCAAGGGTACTGCGGCGCTTAGGATTCCCAGTGTGAGAGGAAAAAGCCCTCCAGAAAAACCAAAAGGGGTGTGGGTGGGGCTCCAGGCTACCCCAGGCGAAACATTTTCAGACAAATTGGCCCAGAATAGGTGAAATTCCTCATCCCTGTAAAACTGTAATATTTAGCATGGCCTAAATATCAGGTGTTTGGTCTGTACAGTATGTTCCATCACAAAAAGAGAAGTATTTATTACTAGTGCTTGAAGCTCCAGAGTAAGTATTCATTGAGAATGGAGTCCACAGGGCAGATTCCCCCTTTACTATAGATAGATGTATTCTTTATCAGAGATTTAGGACACAGTTTTGCTAACTGGTAAATACAAACCAATGTAAATATGTAAGAATGTTTATTTGTTGCACATAACTTTTTTGGTATAAAATAAATGTAGACGTTACCTGTGGAAGCTGTTCCGCCATCTTTCTTACACGGCAGGGGTGCATTTCAAGAAGGACGGCTGTGAGCCTGGTCTTGACTCCCGTTTTGATAGGGAAACCTCGCTCCTGTGGGTAGACTCGGAAACTCCGGGTAACTTGTGTATGTCCTGGTTCTTGGGGTTCCTGTGGGTTTACTATGAATGTAAGAACCTGTGGCCAGCATTGATGCCCACAGTGCTGCAAGCACGTGAAAGCTAAGCTTTTGGAGACTCACGGTGACCCCGCAGGACACAGGAGCCCTGTCCACCACATCTTTCTTCTGCGGAGCTGACGGACTCTGCGTTAGCAGTCAGCACCTCACCACTGTGCCACCAGCAAGATCAGCTGCTCGGCCACTGTACGTTTCCTCATTTGATCTCAGCTGTCCAAGTGCTCTGGAAAGGTCACATCAACAAGGAAGTAAATCCCCTGCGGCGGCGGGGCCTGGCCACGCTTCCTCGTTCTGTGCTGGAGCCTTTGATCCAAGGACTGGCTACTGGAGGCTTAAGTTCAAACTCCTAACAGAAGAATCCTGTAAAGTGTTCTGTGATGTCGAACAAAATTCTGTTCCTTTGAGGGACTTAAGTTCAGTGGTGACAAAAGAAATTTGGAAAGTCTAGAATTCTTAGGAATTTCTTGGAAATTCTTCCAAGATTGCACTTGGGTCCTAATAGCAGCCAGCAGTGGCTGGTGAAGCAGGCTGTGTGGACGTTACCACCGTCAGCGGCGTCAGCCAGCAATCACACCTTCAGACTCCGCTGGTCCCGAGACACAAAGAACTGTCCCGAAGCATTTCGCTTCAGCAGGACTAGCAAATGCTGAAAGCTTAGTACCTGCACCCCTGCTCCTTCAGCAAAGCCCATTGAAGAAGGGGGTACTTCATGGGGAAGCCCAGCCATGGGGAGCAGTGGGAGAGAGTGTGCAGGTGTCGACTGTGGGGAAACAGGTCTCATCCCGTGAGGTCCACTGTGATGGACCCAACACATCTGTCCAAAATTCCACCAAGACCACACTTGGGGTGAGGACAGTGTCCTGAGAGGAGTGGGGACCAACATCCCCTCTGAGACCTCTTCAACTCCTACTGCTTCCTGCCTGTCAGCTTCATGGTGAATGAAAAAACAAACCAGGTACCATCAAGTTGACGCAGAGGCGTTGTGTGGGGTTTTAAGTCGATTGTCAAGGCTTTCTTCCAGTCACGTCAGGGTGGATTCGAACCACCAACGTTTTCACTTAACAGTTGAGCATTTACCCATTTGCCTAACAAGGATCTCCACCCCTGTATGTGTTATTGTGAAGTGCCTTCGAGTGGGCGGCACTCCTGGTGACCCCGTGCTTGAAAGCCTTGGTGACTGCCTCACAGTCTCACGTGGGAGCACGTGAGGGTGTGGGACTGGGCTCCACAGTGGAGTCTCGTGAAGTTACGAGAGCCGGACTCCCGTCTGGGCCACGCTGACCTGTTTGATGAGTGAGCCTGGGGGCACGGGGATGGCAGGGCAATCACGTGACAGTGTGCTGTCACCAGTGACACAGAACGCGCCGAGGGCCTCCCAGCCAGCAGTGAAGGCTGTGACTCAGCCCTGACACCGAGGATGAGTGTGGACACTCAACCCACAGACAAGCCCACTTTAGGTAATTCGCAACCACCGCCTGTTCACAGCCTTGAAGGTCCGTGGCCTCCTGTGCCTAGCAAGTCCTTGGGTGCCTTTTTCCTGTGTGACACACAATGTTTCCACGGTGTAGTGTACACAGTATGCTCCCAAGTCACTCGACGCTTATTCTCAGGAGCAACCAGTTCTTGGAAAGAGAAGAAGACCCTCAATGAGATGGACTGACAGACGCAGCGACTAACAGTGGGTTACAGTGTGACACACTGTATGACGCAGGTTACCTATGTACTAGGAAAAAATTCCCACAACTGTTTTTATTCCAACACTCAGCTTTAATGCAGTGGTCTGGAAGCGAACCCGCAGCATCTCTGAGACCTACCAAGAGATCATTTGGCATGTGGGTGGTCACTTCCGAGTCAACTCTTTATACAAGGAAAGCCTTGACTTTGACCCCTTCTTCCCCAGGCACTGGTTTGTGTGTCTGGCGCTGAGCTTCCAGCATGGACGCTGCCTCTCCTCCAGAGGACACTGGCCACCCGGTCACCTCAGACATAGTCTTTGCTTTACAAAGTAAACAGGCTGTTGCCCAAACACTGAGAGGTCCCCGCCGCAGGGCCGTGCTGGGACTCATTGGCGATTTTCCAGTATCTCTCTCGCAGAACAAACGCTGCACTTTTAGGCTGCCTCTGGCGCGTAAAGATTCCCTTTTTGTTGCCCAGTACTCTCTGTGGGGCTAGAAACAAGCAAAAGGTGTTTCAGATGACACCTGACAGGGTAGGACCAAGAAACAACTGCTAACGGTCTCGGGGGCGGGCTCAGGAGGGGTCTCTAACGAGGCACGGCGGCAGGATGGATGTGGGCGCTGTAGACGGAGGATGACGCTGCCCGGCGGGCTTCGTTCTCTTGTACCCGGGGCAGCTGTGGGTCACAGCTGACTCTGGCACCTACTAACCAGGACCTCCTTTCTGTTGGAGGTTCCACGGAGGAGCCATGGTGGTTAGCATTAGGCTGCTAACGTAAAGGTCAGTGGTTCAAACCCACCAGCCACTGTAGGAGAAAGGTGTGTGCCCTGGGATGCCCGATGGAGGAACAGCTCCCTGTCACTGGCTTTCTGGGAAGCAGGACCAGCTCAGGGCTCTGGGTTGGGTTTGGTTTGCTAGGCTCCTCCACTGGGTTTCCCAAGCGATAAACGCCCACCCATGGAAAGTTCCAGGCACAAGATTTTCTTCCAAGAGAGCTGTGCTGAGAGTGGTCAGGAGACTCCTCCCACTGACCAGAAGGTGTAAGTCTCAGCCACCTTTGTCCTTATGGGACAAGGGCAGCTCACCTGCCCAAGGTCACATCGTGTCCACAAAGCCCTGCGCTGACTGTGACCATGAAACTAGACTAACACCCAGTGTGTCTCAGTCTTAGCCCTTCTCGCCTCATCCTGTTCGCTACTTCTGCTATCCCCTGTCCATCCTCATTTTCAACCAATCCGGAACCTCAATGGCCTCTCCCCTTGCCTCCCCATGTGGCCATCCCACCTGTGTGGTCTGTCGGGACATCTGTAGGTGCAGACAGATGTCAGAAACATTCTTACTTCAGTTTGAACTTAGGTATTCCTTGGTCTCACTAGCGAGTCTCAATCTCATTCCATTTGAAAACTTAAAAGCACTCCTATCTTCAGGCACTTTACGGCTGCCCCGTGTTTGGGAAACATGCCTTTTCTAAAACCAAACTCACTAAGTCATCCAGCAGAGTTGAGCCGTGCTGGCCCCACGGGTCTCCACGGCCATCCATCTGTGCACATGCAGCCTGCCGCCTCTCTCCCACAGAGCGACTGGTGGATTCAAACCTCTGATCTTTTGGTTAGAAGTTAAGTGTTTTACACACTGAGCCATCAGGACTCCCTTTTACAGATGAGTATCATAAGGCGTGACATAGCTTCCGATTCCCACCACTGCTCTATGGTCAGTGTCGCCATAGTCACTCCTCAACTTCCTGCTGTTCTATAAGCTAATTTTTTAAAATAGTGGTCACTGTGAGAGCCCACATTTTTCATCCTCCTGAAACAAGGCGTGGATCCTAACAGTAAATGCCGTTCAAGGCCCAGGTTTTCCTTGTGATAAAACACACTTGCCACTGAGTCAGTGTAGATGCCCAGCGACCTCATGTGCTGCAAAGCAGAGCTGCTCCACAGGGCTTTCAATACCTCTGATCTCTGAGAAGCAGACTGCCAGGCCTTTCTTCCAAGGTACTTCGGGGTGGGTTTGAACTCTCAACCTTTTGCTTAGTAGCTGGGCACGGAACTGGACATGCTACCCAGGGATTCCAAGGTCTCGTACTGCTGTGCAGAGACTACCCTGGGTTAACCATGTCCCCTCATAATACGTAATGTGGAAGTTACCTGATGAGCACCTAGGATTTGGTAAACCAAATAGTTTTTAAAAATACTAGGGGCAAGATGCTGCACTTTTTTTTTTTTTGATACATATAGCATTTAATGTTCTCATGTATAAATTCTCATCCCTAAGAGTTGTCTGCAGAAGTCCCCGTCTGGACCAGTGACAATATAAGATGCTGCACTTTTAATCCCATCACAGCCTTGATCCAGTATAAGAGGTGTGTATGTGGGGTGTGCTTGGGAGCCCTGTGTATCCCATAAAAGAGGAATGTTAGCAGAGCAAAGGGAGACCACGGTACCACCAAGACACAAGAGCTGGGGGTAAGGTGTGTCTGCTGGACCCAGGTTCCCTGCTGAGAAACAGAAAGTCTTCCCCTCAAATGGGCACCCTGAATCTGACTCAAAACTAACCTGTGAGAAATTACACTTCTGTTTGCTAAAGCCACCCCCTTGTGCTATCTCGGTTACTGCACCATGGGAGAACTAAGACACAGTTTGCCTCATGGTAGACTCTCGTGAAGGGGAATCCTGCGAGGGACTGCACTTTAGCCTGATATACTCCCAGCTGCCTTTTCTAGAGAATTCCTTAAACAGTCCACATCAGCAAGACCAGCTGATACTCTGGTTCCCAATCTGAATGGACAGGTCAGCCTGGAAGCCACCCCGTCCTCCCTCTAGACCCAGCCGCCACTCACACTGGTCGGTCATGAAGTCAGCAAAGTTCCAGATGAGCTCGCCCACCACGTACTCCCGGCGCTTCTGGTCCAGCACCAGGTGGTACTGCTCCAGCAGACTCCGCTGGTACTCTTCGCTGAACATGAGCGGCGGGTCCTGGGGCCAAGAGAGAGCTTAACAATGACGCGGGGGTGGGGCCTGGCCAGACTGCTCCCTTTGGAAGACAGCCTCTGTCCTGAGGGGGCGGAGGACCCACCCACCAGCGGCTTGGAACCTGACGTTATAAAGCCTTGATTAGTAGCAGCTATATTTTTAGCATAAGGAGCCCCTCGTGGCACAGTGCACATAACACGTTGGGTTGCTGACCATAATGTTGGTGGTTCAAATCCAAAGAGAAAGATGGCAATCTCCAACCATAAGGGTTTCCAGCTGTCAGAACCCGAGGAACAGTCGCAGGAGTCAGACTAACTCCACAGCATGGGTGCTGCAGGCTTAAGTCACGGCGTACTTTTGTTAGGTGATTTCTCCTCTTGGCCATCACAACCTGCTGATGCATTCTTGAACTCCACCGTAAGTAAAGCCTCCGTTTAAAGAATGCCAAGGGAGAAACTAGTGTGACTCGGCCCTCTATCACTGGCTTGGCCGAGTGTCTGTTTTGCACATTGATCCTTTTGACAGATGGCTACCTGATACCTGTTGGGGGCTCAGAGGTAAGGAGTCGCTCTCTGCGGGAGGCAGACGGGCATTATTCCCATCCTGCACGTTTACTGCCTCTGACGACCTGCAGGGAGGTTGCTGGTACTCGACAGTGTGAATCAGGAGGTCTCTGAGTTGTCAGGGAGAATACTGAATATCCCATGGGCTGCCGGGACAGCAAACACGTGCTGGGCAAAGTGCAGCCAGTGTGCTCCTTAGAGGCCAGTGGGGCGATTCTTCATCTCAGATACCTCAGAGCCATAATCATTGGGAAAAAGACATCATGCTCGGTCCGGTGGAGGGTCAGCGAAAGGAGGACCCTGAACGAGACAGTCTGACCCAGCGACTAACAGTGGACTCGAACATGCCAGAGATGGGGGTGGCACAGGATAGGGAGCAGTTTCCTCGACCGGGGGGGCAGTGTGAACCTCCCCAAAAGGGGATGCTGGTGTTAGGACTTGACACTCTACAAGTGTCGGCTAGTTGGTGACCGAGCCACTGACATGGGCATCTCGAGGGACACTCTGGGGACAGGCCAGTGGCTGGCCAGCAAGGCAGCGATGTTGCAGACATGTGAAGGCAGGAAAGGCCGATCCTGCCACCAGGGAGTGAGGCTCGTCTACCCCGGGGGACCTGGCATCACGAGGTTGGGGCCACTGGTGGGGGGTCATTGGGATTGAGACTGACAGGAAGGCTTCCTCTGAGGCCTGGGCTCATGGAGCAGAGTGGTGACTAAGGTTCAGGGTGCAGAGAGCTCGACGTCCCCGTCGAAGTGGGACGCAAGCGGCCACAACACACCTGGTGCAGCCCTGCAATGGCTTCTGCGCCGTACTCGCTCTGAATGATGGGCTTCCGGTAGGTGCTGTACCAGTTCTCAAACTGGGAGGCCAGCTGCAGCTGGATCACTTCCAAGTGCCCGTAGTCATGGTACCAGGAGTAGTAACTGTTCACGCAGATCACGTCCACGTACGGGGCCTGGGATAGACAGGGACACTGCTCACCAACTGTCCACACAGGTCACATCCATGTATAGGGCCCAGGACAGATGAAGTCACTGCTCACTGTCCACACAGGTCATGTCCACATACGGGGCCCAGGACAGATGAGGTCACCACTAACTGTCCACACAGGTCACATCCACATATGGGGCCTAGGACAGACAGGGAAACTGCTCACCAACTGTCCACACAGGTCATGTCCACACACAGGGCCCAGGACAGATGGGGACACTGCTCACTAGCTGTCCACATAGGTCACGTCCACATACAGGGGGGCCCAGGACAGAGGGGGACCCACCAGCCCAGATCCCCATCCCACTAGACCCTGTTCCCCTCTGGGTACTGGCCTCCTTCCTCTAGTCCTGGACAAATGCCCACAGTAGAGGGGTGAAAGCAGACTTTTCTGCACGGTGGACTGCGGGTTCTCTGACTACAGATCCTACAGAAAACATGGCTCCTCCAGGCGGCCATGGACATGACGGACAAAATGGTCTGATCGCTTAAAAACTGGCTGCAGGTCCGAGCTGCAGAGGCTTCACGTCCCCGTCTAGTCTCAAACAATGCCTCCTGGACTCAACTTCTAAAGCCCTGCTGCTATGGAACCACATCGGACTCAAACCCTGCAGGACAGCACAGAACTGCCCACAGCATTCCAAAGTTAAAATTGAAGCTTTGGTGGCCTGCTGGTAAGGAGCTGTACTGCCAACACAAAGTCAGGTGGTTCAAATCCCCTGGCTGCGCCAAGAGTGAAAGATGGGCAGACTCCTGTGGTTTGCAGCCTGCAAAAACCAACTGGAGGGTCAGCTCCGAGTCCGTGCTGACTTAATTCAATCACAGTAGCAGCAAGCTTTACAGAAGCAGATGACACCATCTTTCTCCCTCAGAGCGGCTGGTGGGTTCCAACTACAAAGCTTTGGGTTAACAGCTAAATGCCTTAACCACAGCACCCCCAGAGTCCCTTCCTGATAAAAACGCTCACCTCCAAAATCCACACTGGGATTAATGTGGTCTTTCCCAAGAGATCAGTGCTCTCTCTCCAAACAGGACTGAGGTAAGAGGGAGTTGGGAGGGCCTTCAGGGTGCTATGGGAGCTGGATCACAGACTCAATCAGGTGGGCCTGGAGGTCCTGGCCAGATACGGCCCACACCAAGGTGTCCCCATCCACGGGAACCCACAAAGCCACCTGGTTCCACCCTGGTGCTTACAGGGCCTCTGGGGGCGCGGCTGGAGGGGGCAGTTCTCCTCTGTACCACATGGGGTCGCCGTGGGTCAGCACTGACAGCAGCACACGGGCCAATACCCCTGCCGCTGAGTCAGTCCTGACACACAGCCACCCAGGACAGGGTGGAACCGCCGCCTAGTTCCTGAGCCTGGGATCTCTGCGGGAGAAGATGGCCTGATCTCTCTCCCGTAGAACAGCTGGTGGGTTCGAATGGACGGCCTTTAAGTTAGACCAGTGTTTAATCCACTCTGCCACCTGGGCTCTATCAAGGGCAGTGGGGATTTTTGGTGGGGAGAGTCATGGTTTTAAGGAAGAAGGGGTCTTGATAAAGGGCCAGGGGGGCACCAAGGCCACTCCCCTGTGCATGTGAAGATGACAGGGCGCACCATCGCATCTGTGCTACTCGGTTTTCTCGCCTGCACTCACGGTTTCTCTTCTGGCAGCACCTCCCTCCTGGAGCCTCCTGGCCCTTCTCTGGCAAAGAAGGAGCGCTTTCTTGCTACTGGGTTATAGCTTCAGTACAATACAAAGCAGCTGGTGAACCCAGGACCTCTGAGGGGACATGAGCTGCAGAAGGAAGGGCTGGGCTCCAGCCAGTCCTGCCAGTGGCCAGCAGCGTGGACCGGTCACTGCAGCCCCGCGTGCAGGGCTGGATGTCAGCGGCCCTTGGACCTGGTTGATCATCAGAGTCTTCACTGCAGAGCTTTCCCTCCCTGGTGTGTTCAGGACTGAACTGAATCCCCCCAAGAACTGTGCTGAGACCCTAGACACGCTGGCTAAGGAGGCCTCATCTGTGCAATTTGTGTCTTCAGCTGAAGAACTTCAGAGATAGAAAATGCAGGTTAGGTGGCAAGAGAAGGAAGTGCAAATGGGTTAAGAACAAGCCACGCGAAGACCACTGGGGAATGGAAGCCGAAAGGGATGAAGATCTGCCCCCCGCAGACCCCGAGCCAAAGGAGAGAAAGGGGGTCCCCTGGAGCCAGATTCCTGGATTTCAACTTCGAGGCTCCTGAACTGTGAGAAAATAACTCCTGTTCTTTACAATCACCACTTGTGGTATTTCTGTTAGAGCAACGCTCAACAACTCAGATAGTCACACCTCACTAAACTGAATCAGAATCCAAAGATCTGCCTTTCCAGAGCTTCCCCTTAAGGCTCTGGTCCACAGCCAGGTTTAAATGAGAGACACTGGGCCAGGGAAATTGAAGCTGCCTTTACACCTCTGACATTTCCCGAGCATAATAAATCAAGGTGTGTCTAAAGCTGAGGCCAGACTGAGAACTAATGACTTTGCCCAGCCTCTCAGCCCAGGAGCCATGCTGTGCAGCGAACAGCAGTGTGGTTAGTGTCAACCCAGAGACGGCCACTGAAACCGCTGGGCGCTGCTGGTCCACGGTCCTCCTGGCAGTTGCTTTTAGTAAGTGTGAGGACAGGACTGGAGGACAGGCAAGTGAGGAGAGGAGAGGCAGGTGGGGACCCCAGGCTCACCCCCAAGTCGGTGCCATAGTTGGAGTTGGTCACATAGGTCACGGGCCGGGTGGGATCCAAAGCCTTGGTGTGAGCAATCAGCGTCCTGTCCGTGGAGGGCAGAAGACACAGGGGACACAGGTCTGTCAGTCTGGGAAGAGCACGTGGACACTCATGTCCTGTCATCTCCTATTCACCCCTCCCAATCACAACCGCAGTCAAGACCCAACACCTTCGCCAAGACCAACACCTTTTCCATGCCAAGACCTTGATCAAGAACAACACCTTACCCATGCCAACACCTTCACCGAGACCAACATCTTCACCATGCCAATACCTTCACCAAGACCAACATCTTCACCATGCCAACACCTGTAGCAAGATCAATTCCTAGGCCAAGACCAAGACTGACACCTTCTCCAAGACCAGCTTCATCAAGATCAACACCTATGCCAAGAATTACACTAAGGCCAGCACCTATACCAAGATCGACACCTAGCCCAACACTGAAATTTATATCAATGCCGACATCTTTACCAAGACCAATACTTTCTCCAAGATCAGTACTTATCACAAGTCCAATACCCCTGCCAAGACCACTCTTTCCCCTGCCTTCGTAGGTAAGTTAGCTAATAAGCATCTTCCCCTAAACCCAGATCACCCACAGTCTCTTTACATCAGTCAACTCCAGTTGATGAGAGGCTACTCTCATTAGGACATAAGTAGGGGACATAAGTTGAGGCTCTTGGCCTACGTACTGACAAAAACTAGGATCTTAATCCTTCATAAAGCACTTGAAAACAGATTAACAGAAATGAGAATCACAGCGAGGAAGTGGGAAGGTGTGGTTACCTGGTGGGTACTGTAATGAATGTTATAAAACAAAATGTGTGTGAATGCTTAAATGGAAAATCAATTTCCTTTGTAAACTTTCCCTCAAATTACAATAATTTTTTAAATGGGAATTATTGAGGTGTGGACCAAAATGAGAAATGTTGTTGTTGTTATGTGCCGTCAAGTCGTTTCCGACTCATAGCGACCCTATGTACAAC